ACACACATATATATACTGTATATATATATATATATATAATATATATATATATATTAGAAATGGATCGTACTCACCCACCATGGTTCCCGCACAGGAGTCCCGTTCAAGAAGCGACCCAAGGAAGCCTCTAGTTCGAACCATCAGTAAGGTGGTCACTATGAAGCCATAGAACCAACCATACATCATAGGTCCTAGAGATAGCTACATCATAGAGATAGCTAGCCAGTGTCTCTTCTACGGGGGGCATCTTCTCATAGCTGTTTTCATGCATTACCTCGATGTTGGCATAACTCGTATGCTGGAAATCGATGGATGCGTGAGGAAGACGGCCTCTTCCATTCCTTCTCGATCTCTGTATGGAGATCAGGAAGAAAGGAAGGCTCATCTGAGCTGGAGGGTTACGGCCAGAAAGATAGCGCTCATCGAGACAACCTCGTGACGTCACTTTCTTGGCCCGCTTCCATGGCAAGTCAAGCCTCGCCATGGCGCGATCCATAACTTCCAAAACTCATCATACGCAGGGCAGGAGGATTGGGAAGGCTCAGCCTCAGCCTTAGCTTCTTTGCCCTCCTCAGACATCTCCTGCTCTTCCTGGGTCGAACTCAGCAGAGCACTGGCCCCTGGATCAGACGATGTTAAATGAAATTACATTATCCTTCAGCGGCTCACTCTCGTCCACAGCCGACGAGCGCAAGGGGGAAAACCCCTCTTTAAACTCATCGGCCAGATCCACCTGCGATCCCCACGAGCTCATTCTCCTCCGCGCCTCAGCAGCGACGGGTCCTGCATTGCGGGGGGCCAATGGCTGCCCCTCTTTCCTCGACAAGAGAGACAAACGAGAGCAGAGCTTTTTCATTGGAAAACGCTCGCAGTGAACGCAGATTGCCCTCTCGAGGACATCGCGTGCGTGCTCCTCACGCAAACAAAAAACACAGAGATTGCGTGTGTCATCAGATGTCAAATAACGACCATACGGATGCACACATCCTCTAAACGCTTTGCTAGTGCTCACCATAATGAAGGAATAAAGATCACTCTTACCACGGAAATGCACGCTTCAAACAAAACGGTCATTGAAGACGAAGAAAAGGATGATGTGTTCTCCCGGCGCCTATTTATACTATAGTCTCACCGGTAGTGACGTCTCAGTGATAAGCTACCACTAAATATTGTACAAACTTAATTTGCTGTAAAGTTGCTTTGCAACGATTTGTATCGTGAAAAGCGCTATACAAATAAACTTGAATTGAATTGAAATGAATGATCAGGGTAAATTGTACATATTGTATTTTTTCTTCTCGGAAACATTTATTAGGCTTTTAAAGGGTGGTAATAAATGAAAAAAAAACCCCGGATCTTTAAGCAAAATAAGATAAGAATAAAAATAAGATAATGATATTTTAAAAAATCTTCAGCTCTTAATGCTATTTAATGCCTATTACAACTTATTTGCAGGTTTTGCAATGATTATGTATGAGTCTCTCAATTATTCTCAGTCAAAATCAAGCACAAAATGGAAATATTTTAAATATCTTGCTTTTACTGAGAAACTATTAAACAGCTCTTTTTTTGGGGAAGAAACAAACATAGATTTAGATTCTGTTTGAAATTAACTAAGTAGGGTATTTCGAATGCAGTTTACTGAAATGAGGTAAACCATCGATGAGCTCAGTTAAATAAACAGGTCACGGGTGGAACCATAGATACAACACTGTTTATATTCACAGTTATAATTGAACTATAGTGGATTTTTGCATAGTCGTGCTACAGTTCCCCTTCAGGAACTCGAGTTGCGGCGAGATCGCTTTGGGAACGCCCCTGCGGCTCTGCCGGATGCGCTTTTATACTTTCTGGTGCTTACGTCACCCCACTCGTGACGTCTCGCTACTCCATTGGGCTGATTTGACACGTGCTTCAGAACGCGGTCACGCAGGGGCGTTCCCAAAGCGATCTCGACGCAGCGTCTCGTTCCCTCGGGGAACCATGGTTACATACGTAACCTAGAGACGTTTCTGTGACACAATACATAAATGGACATATTTGGGATTGGACAAGCCTGATCCACAGCTTTTGTGCTTATATTTCCTTTCTGTTACAGACTTGCAGGCTGCAATCTCACTGATGAATGCTGTAAAAGTGTGGTATCAGTTCTACAATCATCAAACTCCCCTCTGAGAGAGCTGGAATTAAGTAATAACCTACAGAGTCCAGAAATAAGGTTGTTGTCTACTGGACTGGAGAATCTACACTATGGAGAGGAGAGGTTTGTGGTATTCAGTAGTACCATGGTACTGACACAATACATTGACCTATCAGTGTCTGCCAGTGCACTGTGCTTTTCAATTCATTGGACAACCACTGCATAGTAATTAGACATATTATGAAAATACAGTGAAGAATTTTTGCAAAGCTAAATGACCATTGTTCTTTGTGTAGATTTGTCTTAGATCAATCCTTTCGAAGTTTGAATTCATCTTCTCAGAATTTTGGAGTGGAGATGATTTTTGTTGGACTGAATAGTTCACAATGTCAACTGGAGAAACTGAGGTATTAAAAATGGCTTTATGAAATTAAAGATGCGCACATAAGACATAGGATGTTGTAAGCTATATTCAACAGAAGATAAGGAGTAGGAGACTACTTCAGTAGAGGTGGTTCTACAGATTATAGGCTAGGTGTGCCTCCTCATTTCATCCACCAAGTCCACCACATGACACTGCACTTTAGGGAGACATGTAAGGAGAAACTGGTCACTGAGTATGCAGCCACCACTGGATAGGATCAGTGAGCTGCAGAATTCTGTGTTGTTTATTGAGGGACCATTTAAGTCAGAAGTTCACACAGGAACACTTGATAATTAATGACAGGTATATATTGGAACAGGATTTAAATATAGTTTAAAATATATAACCATACAAATAAATTTAAGCACACTGCCTATTTGATACTTTTACTTTTTGTTGTTGTTTTGTTTAGATTGGGCAACTGCAGTCTCACTGATCAATCCTGCAAATGCTTGGTCTCAGCTCTAAAATCATCAAACTCTTCACTTAGAGAGCTGGACCTGAGTAAGAATGACCTGAAGGATTCAGGAGTGAAACTGCTTTGTGCTGGACTGAAGAGTCTAAATTGTGTACTGGAGATACTGAGGTATTTAAAAACATTACTTGGATTGTAAGAAAGTTACAAGAAAAGTTAAAGTTAAAGAAAATTTAAATTTAAGTTATGAAAGTGTAAGGTCCACGCACTTGGCCCAAGGAAGGTATCCAGTGGTGGATGAAGGTTTCTGGAAACAGATGTCTGTATGTTAATGCACTGTGTGTGTATTGTCTGTCTCAGAAGATCAAAGTATCTGAGTTTCTTTTATCCTTACAAAAGCATTACATTAGTCCTTGTCAGTGTCCTGACTGCTTGAAATGTATCAGCAGACCCAAGTTTGTCTTTGTTCATGTTTGCTCTTATTTTCTATTATTAACCTTTATTTCACAGATACCTTTTTTTATTAGCATGACCTTAATTCTTGATTACAATAATGTAAATATATGTACAATTACACCGAAATGTACTGTTATATTGTTGGTGTCTTAATAGGCTTATGCTGGTAACACATCAGTGGACTTTTTTTGTACATTTTCAACAATATAGGCTATATTTGTTTTACACCTTTCTCATTCTTACTAATTGAAGAAATTATTTAAACACGTTGCATTTGTATCACATAATTAATTAGGTCTGCCCCTAAAGTTTACAAGATTACGTCAGAGCTTCATCAAATGTTCAATAGCATCATTGACAGGGCAATCAGATGGTTGATGCTCTTGCCACTTTGGCATGAGGTGTATCTAAGGTTTCATTTAATTTATGTTTTTTGCACTTGTATAATACAAGACTGTAAGTAAGCCGCAAATTATTTTCCTTCCATTGATACAATCTCAAAGTTTTAGAAGTTAAAGACATAAGTGAGGCAAAGAGAAGGGCATTTACAGAGTACTTAATAAGGTAGCCTATTTCTGTGTTAGTTAGGCTACTACTGAGTCACTACTTAGCTAAACATGTAGGCTAGCTGTTTTTTTTTGCCACAGGATGAGATCTGTGAAGCAAAAGCCTATGGTTTTGAAGCATTTTCAGGGCTTGAATTTTGGTGCAGGATTGCAGGTATTGCGCATAATTTTACTTTATAATTTACTTCATAATTTTACTAATTCCTGCAAGTTCCACGCTTATAATGTGAGAAATTCCCACAAACCTTTCAGCATCAATGACACTCGGAGCAGTTGACGGAATGTATCTTCATGTGTTTTTAAGTCTTGCCAGTTTAAACATTCACAAAATTTTAAACCATTCAAGCACAATAAGCAGCAAAAGAGTACTGAGTTCAGTACTCACACACTCTCTGAGAGTCGGTTTACTGTATGCATGCACTCAAAGCCCGCACACATAAAGCCACTTCTCAGAGAGCTCATGAATACTGAACTGACTAGAATGATTTTGATTAGCATTTTAGTGTTCATATTAGAGGGCATTCTCAACTTGTTATATTTTACAGTTTGTCAGTTGATATAAGACTTTGTAGGCTTTGCATACACATGTAAACCCCTCAAAAGCCTGGAACCACAGAGCCTGACACATAACAAATCCCAGTTTAACCCCTGGGTACAGTATATGCCTAAACTGTGTTTGACAGCAAAGCATTACACTAGATCAGCCGCTCATAATCCAGGTCCTGGAGGACCCACAACTCTGCACATTTTGTATGTCTTCCCTAATAAAACACACCTGATCAACTCATCAGCTCATTAGTAGGTACTTCAAGACCTGAAATGGTTGTGCCAGTTGAGAGAGACATCCAAAATATGTACTGTTGGGGGTTCTCCAGGACCAGGTTTGGGATCCACTGCTCTAGATGAAACTGTGGATAAAATTAACAATAAAATAAAAGACAAAACAAACAATCTGCTAAATAAACAGTAGGCCATGTATGTAATCAAATACTGGAAAGTATATGACATAAATCAGTATGTTGTCCAAGCAATTCTGTTGTCCACATTGTGAGAACATTACCTTGGAGTCATGCCTGGAGTTTGTAAGGAGACATACTAGGGTCTTGCTGCCTGACCACAGCTAGAGAAACTTTTTATACTGTGTGACATTACCTGAAAAGTTGTCGAGACTCTTTGATCTGACCTAGACTAGAGATGGTAAAAGGTGATTTGTGTGTCTTTGTAGATTATCTGGCTGTATGGTGACAGAGGAAGGCTGTTGTTATCTGGCTTCAGCTCTAAGGTCAAACCCCTCACACCTGAGAGAGCTGGATCTGAGCTACAATCACCCAGGAGACTCAGGAGTGAAGATGCTCTCTGATCTACTGGAAGATCCACATTGTAAACTGGAGAAACTCAAGTATGTTGGGCATTCAGATTCACATTTTCCTGTGTTTATGTGGGTGTAAAGCAAAATAAGTGTGTATGTGTTGACAATAAAACATGTAAACTAGGGATGTCCCGAGCCAATCTGAAGGATTGGGATCGAGGCCGATCAAGCATTTTTTTTTATGGCGGCGCGTGAGTGTTTTCTGGAATACTTTGTTTGTAGATCTGTTGTTTAAATTATTACTTGCTGCTAGGAAGGAATATTTTGTTCTCTTTTTTATTTCTACTTTGTTTTTTCGTTGTAGTTTCTATTTTTGATTGCACTTACTGGTAATTATAATAAGTGACCTTGGCTAAGAAGGAGCCTGTGCTATTTGCATTGCTCCTTCCTGCACTTAAGTGCGAACTGTAGTTTCGATTTGAGCAATTGCCCTGCAATAGGCTATTGGCTGTGCTAATTAGAAGGTGGCCACAGCTTTTTTCACGTTAGTGTCTTAGACTGTGTATTTATTTGAGGTCTGTGCGCTGACATGGAAGCGCCAGGGGAAGCGTTCAGCCCTCCTGTTCAGTCTCCTCATGTTAAGCCCAACGAGTGTAAAGACCTGCGACTTTACCTGCGCGAATTCACCGAGCAACGAAACCGGCAATGCACATAAGTATTATTTTTCTTCCCTTTACACACTCTCCTTTTCTGTCCTCTCTTTTCCACCTCTATCATGTGTTTCCAAAACATTCCGGTTGTCTCTCGACAATGCTCTAACGTCACACGCAGACGGCAACACAATCTTGCTAACCTGCATCCTATCTCTACATCCTCTACTGCACCTCTTTCTTTCTCTGTAGGTCTCTGGAATTTTCAGTCAGCTGTCAACAAAGCAGACTTAATTTCTGCTTTTTCTTTACAATCCACCAGTGGTGGGCGAAGTACACAAATCAAGTACTTGAGTAAAAGTACAGATACGTATAATAAAATATTACTCCCATTAAAAGATTGTTTTCCTTACCTCTCAGGCAGAGTCAGATAGGCGGTAGTATGTTTCCAATACATTCTTGTTCTCTCTCAACAATGCTCTAACGTCACACGCAGACGGCAACACAATCTTGCTAAGCTGCATCCTATCTGCACCTCTTCTGCTAGACCTCTGTCATTTTCTGTGGGTCTCTGGAATTGTCAATCAGCTGTCAACAAACTTCATTCTGGCCACTGCTTCTCAGTCTACTCTTAGTATCTTGGGCTTGACTGAGACCTGGATTCGTCCAGAAGAC